TTTGAAGCAATCTGTGACCGTTACTTCTTTAAACTAAATTGCTTTAAACTGATTGGTTGATTTAATCATCACAATGTTTTTCCACCAATCAGATTAGTTTGTTACAGAAAATTGCACTGTGATTACAAAAAATTGCACTGTGATTACACAAAATTGCACTGTGATTACACAAAATTGCACTGCTGTTTGGGATTAACTGCACTGAAATCAACCAATCACAGTCGAGTAATATCTTTATGTATATTATTATATATAAAATATGCAAGTAGGTTATCATATTTCGTACCTAAAGACCAATTAATTTTGAAAATTGTTTACGATAAGAACCTTTCTTTAAAGATGCGGTACAGTCCGATCTGCGCATGTGCACAAAGGAACCCTCTTTTTATTTACAAACAGTTTATTTAGGTTTTTATTTCATTTTATGTTCTTGCAAAGCTTGATGGTAGTGCCTTGATACTTTATTATACTCTAGAATCATGGAAAATATAAATAGCTGTCAAATAAAATTCAATATTTTGGGTACCGAAACATAAACAAAGCCTTTGTTTACATACGGACTGTACCGCATCTTTAATTTGTCGTATTTTTTCGGCTGTTTTGCTTAAAAATTACCTCGCAAGTTTGTTTATAAGTGTTTATATGAAAGTCTGGCTATTTCACGAAACACTACAACCGAAATATGGCAACCTGTTTGGCAGTTTTTTGTTCAAAATAGTGGATACACAAGCTTCATAAGGCGCTTTCCTCGGTTTGCAACATGTCTGTCGCAAGTTGTTTAAAACAGCATTGCTGCAGCTCTGTGTCAACAACTTGCGACAGGCCTGTTGAAAACAGCATTGCTGCAGCTCTGTCACAACAACTTGTAACAGACCTGTTGACAGGCCGTTGTGGACCTGTCAGAACAGACGCATCCAGATATCGGCTTGTTGACAACAGGTTTTAACAGATCTGTTGCAGATCGGTTCCGACTTGTGCGAAATTGGCTGTGTATGGATATACCGCATTTTATAATTACCATCTCATCCGTCCGTCCGCATTTTACTAGTAGTTTGTTCTGAAATATTGTTTTTCACATTGTTATAATCGTTTACGAAAAATTACAGTACCTCAAAAATGGCGGCGTGAGAAAGGCTAATTCAACACTTTTGATAAAAATCTTAAATTTACGTTTGGCGATTTTTCTGATTCTGTGGGAACTGGGACTGGTGTTGATATTTTAAAAACATAATTTATGTTAATTATTTTGGGAATTAATCGGAAAAACGGACACGTTGGACTGACAGTACAGGTTTATATTGAGGCGAAGGAAACCATTTTATTTATGTTTGTAAAGTTGTGTTTATTAAAGTGTAAATGTGTATTGAAGAAAGCGAATCATTCAGTGTTTCTGGGAGATTCCCCACATTGAAGGCGGCGATCCTGCCAGGACATTGAAGGAATTTACATCGAGAACTGATGTGGGATACTGCGTGACGGCGATAAACACAAGCAAATACGTTCGATAATATAACAAAATCTAACAGGTTGGTGATTTAAAAGCGTAGGGGTTAATTTTCAACGTTATTTCGGAACATTGGGAACAACGTTATTTCGGAACCTCGCACGACTTCGGTGCAAAGTTAGAAAAATTGCAAATATTCGTCCTGATCATGAGCGCCATTTTGGAATCCTCAACATGTCTAATATATTTGAGGATAAACAAAAAAAAATAAGACAATTTTCAAGAAATGACTATTTGAACAAGAATCAGGATACATAATGGAATCAGGATCGTTCTTGCAGACAATGCCTCTTAAGCAACTTGTAGATAACTTGAAGAAATATGTTGATCGACATCCATTGCGTGTGGAGGAGAAAGAAGTCAAGGATGATCGGAACGGGAGCAAACTTAATTGGCGCAATCGTGATAAACTCTTGTTTGATAATGGGGGAAGTGGATACAGACGAACGAAATGTATTTATTGTGATTCCCGTGAGCATTCTGCTGTAAAGTGTACAAAGGTTTTGAGTGTGGCTGATCGTCGGGGCATAATGAGGCAATTAATAGAAAGCTTGCTTCAAATGTGTATTACCAGGACATCCTGCATCAACATGCCGTGCGCGAGGGTGGCACAAGTGTGGGAGAAGCACCATACCTCAATATGCCGACAACAGGAAAAATCGTGACTGGATGTCTGGATGGTATGAACAACAGCCTAATGGAAAAGAGTATGAGTAGTACCCTTCAAAACACTTCAGCAATTCACCCAACCTTACTCGCAAATGTCGAAGGCAAACAAGTGCGTCTCATGATTGATACAGGAGAGAGCAGTTCGTATATCTGTACTGATGTTATTACCAAGTTAGGATTACAGCCAGCCAGGAAGGAGAGACGTTGCTGGATCAATGACCAAAGTCGTTAAGGTTTACAACGTAACTGTTAAATCGACAATCGGGAACGAATTCAAAGTTGACCTGGAGTGCATCAACGCAGAGAAACCCATCCTGACCCATTTACCAAATCCAAACGTTGAGCAAGTGAAGAGGAAGCAACCACGCCTGCGTCGACTAAACATTAGTGAAGAGA